ACATCTTGTTGACAAGCTTGCTACAAGCCTGTTGCGAACACATCTTGTTGACAAGTTGGGAGATTTTTACGTGTGTAATATTGTGTGTTTGTTAATTTTGTACTCACTGTGATTTTAACCTTTTCTATAGAGCCATGTTTGTTTTGTGATGGAGTACGCTTCAGGAGGTGACCTCATGATGCATATACATAATGAAGTTTTCTCAGAACCAAGAGCTGTGTAAGATATTAAATTTTTATTCGAATATTTTTGTCATTCTCATCTTTTGACTTAATTGGTCGATCAGATCCTTTCGTTCAATGTGCCATTTATACTTCATTGATATTTTCCCAACTTTCTACAGGTTTTATACCTCCTGTGTCGTTCTTGGATTGCAGTATCTACATGATCACGAAATTGTTTACAGGTTGGTGTTTTTGTTGAGATATATTGGTAGAGTATTGATGACACAGTGGCATCATTTTGTATGTTTCACTTGACAGGGATTTAAAATTGGACAATTTATTACTGGATGCTGAAGGTTACGTGAAGATAGCAGATTTTGGTTTATGTAAGGAGGGTATGGGTTACGGTGCGAGAACGGGCACTTTTTGTGGCACACCGGAGTTCTTAGCACCTGAGGTAAGTGATGTATTATACGCACCTAAAAACGCACAAGTTGTAACAAATCTGCAGCAGACTTGTAGCAATGCTGTTCCAACAAATTGTCAACAGGATGTGTTCGCACTGCTTGTTCCCAGCTTATTGACAAGTTTTCAACGGCTTGTTGACGACTTGCTATAAGGTTGTTGAGCTCAACAGTCTTGTTGCAAGTTGTTCCAACAACTTGTTATCGTCCTGCAACTCAACAATTTGTCAACAAGTTGTGAGTGACAACCTTGTAGCAACTTGATAAAATAACACCATTGTTACAACTTGCAATGCTCGACAGCTTGTGAACAGATTTGTAACAACTTGTGCGTTTTTGCGTGTGTAGATCGTGATCTCTCCTCGTGAATATCAAAAATCTACCAGAAAGGATTTGTGATAAATGAGTTGATGTTCTTTTGTTAGGTCCTTACAGAGACATCATACACTCGCTCAGTGGACTGGTGGGGCTTGGGAGTCTTAATATTTGAAATGCTTGTGGGAGAGGTGAGATATAGGTTTGAATTCAATACTTTTCGTCAACCGCTTAAACCTGACCTGAACAAAATGCTACAGCTCAGTTCTAAACTTTTCCTCTTACAAATCCAGTAAGGGCCAATGAACTGGAAGCACTCTTCTCACGTGTGATTGTTATGAAATTTCAACCAGATAACTTGCATAGTGTAGGAATGATCCCTCGATCAGACAGGTTTAAGACACATCCTAAGTGACGGTGACCACTGTTCGACCGACGCCCGTGGAACCTTAAGCCACAGTCTACACTGTTCGTTTTCTAAAACGTGGTTTACACTAGGCCAAAAAAAATAAATATGTGGGTTTCCGGTTTCCCGACCCTACCTAGCTTTTGGACGTCGAAATCCCGACCCTAAACTTTTTTATTGGATCATGGTTGTAAGTGTTTCCACTTAGAGGAAAACGTTTGTGGAAAATTGAAATTTGAGGCAATATTAAGGAAATTTATCTTTGGATGTGGAAGCACTGACTAAACAAAATGGCGTCCGCTTGTTCGGAAAATTAAAAAAAAAGTTTAAAAAAAAAAGTTAAAACCGACCTGCCCTACCTAAGTTTTTATAAGAAGAAACCGGAAACCCACATTTTTTTTTTGGCCCTATCAAAGTTTCTGTGATCACAGTAGGAATTTTGCATGGGTAAAGTTTTGAATGATTTGTAAGAAATGTTTGAGGGAAATGACTCATTGTTTAACACTAAGTCAGTTCCTTCAAACATTTCTTACAAATCCTTCAATCACAGAAACTTTGATAGTGTTGTCCTCCATGCGACCAACAGCCGCAGAACTAAGAACCACAACCTACACCGTCCGTTATCTAAGTTTTTTTTAGTGATCATCTTGAGAACATCTGTTGTCTTTTCTAGTCACCATTCCCTGGAGATGATGAAGAGGAGGTGTTTGATTCCATCGTCAATGATGAAGTTCGTTATCCCAAATTTTTATCTACCGAAGCTGTCACCATAATGAGAAGGGTAAGAACGCCAGAAAGCAGAAAGGGCTGTGAAATGAATGGGAGGAAATTCCCTTGCCGTTGTGAGGATCACTTACCCTGGTCAAACGAGAACAAGAATTGCATGAGAGTTGATGAGAATTGAAAAGCGAGAGTTTGCATGAGAGTTTTCACAACTCTAGTGCCCTGGTCAAACGAGAACAAGAGTTGCATGAGAGTTGAGAAGCGAGTGTTTGCATGAGAGTTTTCACAACTCTAGTGCCCTGGTCAAACGAGAACAAGAGTTGCATGAGAGTTGATGAGAATTGAGAAGCGAGTGTTAGCATGAGAGTTTTCACAACTCTAGTGCCCTGGTCAAACGAGAACAAGAGTTGCATGAGTGTTGATGAGAGTTGAGAAGTGAGAGTTTGCATAAATGTTTTCTCAACTTTCATGCCCCGGTCAAACGAGATCAAGAGTTACATGAGAGTTTTCTCAACCCTCATGCCCCAGTCAAACGAGAACAAGAGTTGCATGAGAAGTTCATGAGTGTTGAGAAGCGAGAGTTTGCATGAGAGTTTTCTCAACTCTCATGCCCCGGTCAAACGACAACAAGAGTTGCATGAAAGTTTATGAGAGTTGGCTAGATATTACCGATCAAATGAGGCTAACGGGCAGTGGCTCTCATCAACTCTTATGGAATTTGAATCAGCTCAAAAGTTGATAAGAGGCACGAGAATCGATGAAAGTTGGCGATCAAACAGTTACAACTTTCATTTGAGTGGAGCTTTATACAAGTGGTCATTGTATTTTTTTAGTTGTTACGACGAAATCCCGACAGAAGATTGGGTGCAGGTGAAAATGATGCCGAAGACGTGAAGAAACATCCGTTCTTTAGGGTATGGAAACTTGAACTTTGTTTAATCAAACATATTTGTAGTGTAGAATCACTTTTGTGTATTCAATACTTAATTTCAATGCTAGGACGTGAGATGGAAAGATTTACTATCCCGTAAAGTGAAACCACCATTTGTACCAACTTTGGTAAGTACACAATTTTTGTTATTGTCCAAATTTAACTGTCACATGCGCTGCAACTAAATCAACAATATATTTCTTTCTTTCTTTCTTTGCCAGAAACATGCGGAAGATGTGAGTAATTTCGATGAAGAATTCACGTCGGAAGACCCAGTGCTAACACCGCCTAAAGAGCCTAGACCTCTCAATGTCGAGGATCAGGTACGAATCATGATGCATGCCGATTATGAAAGTGTTGATAATTATGGATGACCCCTTACTGCACTTCAAGTTTGACGACATGATTTAGTTTCAAAACTCAATTCAAAATTGAGTTTTTCGGTCCGTTTTAACGGCCAGTAAACAATTAACCGTCAATGCCCTTGTCTTTGACAAGTAAAATAGCCTAGTCTTGGAGTGAAGCCCCGTTTACACTGTCTGTGTTCACAGTAGGAATTTTGCGTCGGTAAATTCTACGTTTTGATGGATTTATAAGGAATGTTTGAGGGTAGGAATTTGGTTAATTTCAGGCGAAATCTTACAAAAACATAAATCCTGCATTCTCTTTTCAGGCTTTGTTTGTGGATTTCGACTACATAGCAGATTGGTGTTGACACATCTACACACCAGCGGCATAACAAGGCAGTACGCTACAAGTCATAGTAAGATCACAAAATAATGAACTGCTGGTGTATGCCTGATGCTGAATATAGAAACACCTGATCTATATACGTTGATTTGTATCTGTGAGTTTCACTAAAGGCTATTTTTCATTGCAGTCGCTTTGCCCGCGCGGGCGGAACGAACATTACTCAACTCTCTCTGTAGTTGTCTAACCTGTGCATTTTTTGTCCGCCTGACTGCAGACCAGACTGCTCCGGAGTCCGGACACGCCATGAAAGTAGAACTACATTCAACTTTCTTGGCGTGCCCGCGCGACTGATTTTTCACGTGATGAAAATTGACCGCTCCACCCGCGTGGGCAAAGCGACTGCAATGGAAAATGGCCCTAAGCACTATCGTGCAACAGATGGTGGTCAACCTACAGAGTTAGAAATATTCATACTTTTCCTTCAGTGGCGGACCCTCTGATGTTGATCACCATTTACTGTTCTGTCACGTTTACTGAGGCCCATCAGTACTATGGATGCAATCCAATGAATTGTTAATAATGAACTTCGCGAGAGAAGTATATACTTTAAAATGCTTAGGCATATGGATACCAGTTTCTACATAAAGCCTCATTTCCATGCGGTGCGACTGACGTGACCAAGGCGGCCCATCAGGGCACGGTTCTTCAAAGGTGGGTTAGCGCTAACCCTGGGTTAAAATTTAACCTGCTGTTTTTGTTTGTGTATTTCTGCACGTCTGTTTATTTCAAAATTTCAGAGAAGTAAACTCCTATCGATCCAGACAAGATCTCTGAAGAAATATTTCCAAATTTATAGACAAGCTGTCAGGAAGTTTGCTTTGAATTTTAGGTTAACCTAGAGTTAAGCTAACCCAGCTTTGAACAACCTGCCCCAGGCGAATTTGTTCGCACGATGCTTTTGCTGACGTGATAAGCGATGTCAACAAAGGGAAAAGTCGCTTCGCGCGAACAATTCGCCTGGCGGAAAATAGGTTTACATTGGCAACCTTGAAATATTCACGACATACCCTACCGTATGGAAACAAGGCTTCAATTTTCCAAGCGAGAAAACCTGCGATCAGGCACTCGAAGTGAGCTTTCTTATAAAGCCCTGGGCAAACTAGGAAACATTGTTGTGGAAACATTGGTGATTCTCGATGTTTCCTCAAATGTTTCCCCGTTTGCCCACCCGTGGAAACATTGTTGCAGAAACAAAATTTTCTTCCCGAGAAGCAAAAATGTTTCCTAGCAAATTCAGAAACATTTGATGTTTCCCTATGTTTCTCACTAATGTTCCCTAGTGTTTGCCCACTCTGGGAAACATGGCGAAACATTGGCAGGAAACAATGTTTCCACAACATGTTTCCTAGTTTGCCCAGGGCTTTACAAAGCAAGCGCCCTGCAAACGAGGCTGCCATCAAAGGTGTATTCCCAATAATGCCAAGGTGTATTGGCGAATTCAGGTTTGGTTTTATGTCAAACCTGTTTGTATACTTGTAATCAAAGATAGTTTGAAATTGTGAAAGAGATTTTGATCTTTTGTAAAATTGTTCTGTTTTTTTGTTTGTTTGTTTTGTTCCGGGGGGGGGGGGGCATGTCATTCGGTTATACAAGAGACGTGATCATCCTTTGTGGTGTAATCTAGATAAACTAGCCAGAATAACACAAAACACAGCCCGCTATTTTCTTATGCAAGGTAGCGGTCCAGTCGTATATATAATTCAAAGCCTTCGGGCATGTTCAGGCAAGTGCCCGAGCTGCGCCGGGAAGGACCTCGGTCGAGTACAACAAAAGCACGTTGTCGAATCTCGAAGTAGAAAATTTGCAAAACTTTGCAAGGTTTTTACACGAAATATTTGATATCTAAAGAGAACAAATGTGTGGTCGAACCGCTTGGTAAGTGTTTTACTCAAATATTTAGCCAGAAAGCGTAAATTATCACATAGGAAAATCAAAACATTTAAATATTAGTTCGAAGTGACTATATGACCGGCAGCCGGTCACGGTTTATAAAATACTAAATGGCCGGCAGTCTAGTGACTATTGTTAAAGTTTAATTTTTATAAGATAAACCTATCCCCAACCCCAAACCCTTTTCTAACCCTAACCCCTAACCCTAACCTTTTGAGAGTTAGAAAAGTCGGGAAAAAAAGTTTAAAAAATTTTAAGAAAAAACAATGCTAAGTCAGACAAAACACATCGCGACCCCGACTGCGCTTAACTTTCCGCACGCAGCGCCCTTGCCGTATGGGCATGTACTAAAAGGCGAAACGTCGAAACGAAACGACCGAAACGAAACGGCCGAAACCATCGAAACCACCGAAACGACCGAAACGAAACGACCGAAACGAAACAACCGAAACGAAACGACCGAAACGAAACAACCGAAACGAAACGGCCGAAACGAAACGGCCGAAAATATAAAACACAGGAAAATTGAAAAATGCGGATACGGACGGACGGACGGACGGACGGACGGAGGGGACAGGCGGATGTACGGGGGAGACAGGCAGATGGACGGGGGAAGAGGCGGATGGACGGGTGGGGGACAGGTGGATGGACGGGGGAAGAGGCGGATGGACGGGGGGGTGGACAGGCGGGTGGACGGGGGGGACGGCTTCATTTGATACGAAACTGATATTTAAAATCAAATCCGCGTTTTGTTGAAAGGGATATATTAGGATATATTATAAAAGACTATTATTAATCGTAATAAATTGTCCGCGAAAAGTTGATAAAATACATGTGGAAATGCGGGGTTTTTCCATAAAACGCGGATATGCTGCAACTTTCATGCTTAATTTTCTCAGTCGTCTGGGTATGTAGTAATCTAATTTTATGCAATGTAATGTGTTATATTTTCAAGGGCTTTTCAATGCAGTTATCGGTTTAAATATACCTAAAATTCCCGTTAAGATATGAAAATTGCCGTACGGCCTATGCTTCATGCTTAATTTTCTCTGTTATCCGGGCATGTAGTAATGTAATTTTATGCCAATGTAATGTGCTGATGAAATTTGCAGTTGTAATTTGCGTTTCCGTAAAAGTAGTCCGTACGGCAATTGTCATATCTTAACGGGAATTTGAGTTATATTTAAACCGATAACTGCATTGAAAAGCCCTTGAAAAATAGCACCTTACATTGGCATAAAATATACATTACTACATGCCCAGATAATATAACAGAGAAAATTAAGCATGAAATTTGCAGTTGTAATTTGCGTTTGCGTAACTAGTAGGCCGTACGGCAATTGTCATATCTTAGCGGGAATTTGAGTTATATTTAAACCGATAACTGCATTGAAAAGTCCTTGAAAAAACAGCACATTACATTGCATAAAATTAGATTACTACATACCCAGATAACAGAGAAAATTAAGCATGAAATTTTTGCAAATTGACCATTAGTAATATTCCAAAGTTTCGTTGCGAAATGTTGTAAAATGCGGAAATATAGCCTTGCAAAATTTGCAATTTTCAGTCATTTTAGATTACAAATAGGAAATTGACAGCCCCAAACCCTTTGAGGCTGTCAATTTCCCGTTTGTAATCTAAAATGACTGAAAATTGCAAACTTCGCAAGGCTATATTTTCCACATTTTACAACATGTCGCAGCGAAACTTTGTGATGAAATTCTTGTCTAGACTTGTTTAGATCAAAATTTAGTCTATTACACAAATGGTCAATTGTAGCTGAATTAAATTTTCGTTTGCGTAAAAGTAGGCCGTGCGGCAATTGTCATATCTCTTAACGGGAATTTTAGGTATATTTAAACCGATAACTGCATTGAAAAGCGCTTGAAAAAATAGCACATTACATTGCATAAAATTAGACTACTACATACCCAGATGACTGAGAATATTAAGCATGAAAGTTGTAGCATATCCGCGTTTTATCCTTATATCAAGC